TGGCGATGGTGGTTGAGCCGCCAAATGGGATTAGACAAGAGGGGAAACATTACTACACGATGTGGCAAACATTATTCGAAATCGATACTAAGTATGTTCCGATTAAGCCAATTGGAAGGGGAGCTTATGGTGTGGTTTGTTCTTCAATCAATAGAGAGACCAATGAGAGAGTTGCTATTAAAAAGATCAACAATGTCTTTGAGAATCGTATTGATGCTTTGAGAACATTGAGAGAGCTTAAGCTTCTAAGGCATGTGAGACACGAAAACGTTATCGCACTTAAAGATGTTATGTTGCCTCCTCATAGGAACAGTTTCAAAGATGTTTATTTGGTCTATGAGCTTATGGATTCTGATTTGAATCAGATCATTAAATCCTCTCAGTCGCTATCCGATGATCACTGCAAGTACTTCTTGTTTCAGGTACATTTGGTTCGATACATTTCAATTTTCTGTTAAGGTTTTCCGGTTTGTTGATTGATTGTATCGTGTGTGTGTGTGTGTAATTGTAGTTGCTAAGAGGATTGAAGTATCTTCATTCTGCAAATATCCTTCACCGCGACTTGAAGCCCGGGAATCTCCTAGTGAATGCTAATTGTGATCTTAAGATTGGTGATTTCGGGCTTGCGAGAACCAGCAGAGGCAATGAACAGTTTATGACAGAGTATGTGGTCACACGTTGGTACAGAGCACCCGAGCTTCTTCTTTGTTGTGACAACTACGGGACCTCCATCGATGTTTGGTCGGTAGGGTGCATATTCGCAGAGATTCTTGGCCGAAAACCGATTTTCCCGGGAACAGAATGTCTCAACCAGCTAAAGCTAATCATAAATGTTGTTGGTAGCCAACAAGAATCTGATCTAAGGTTCATAGATAACAGGAGAGCTCAGGGATTTATAAAGTCTCTTCCTTTCTCAAAGGGTACACACTTTTCTCAGATTTACCCGCACGCTAATCCTCTAGCGATAGATTTGTTAAAGAGGATGCTTGTGTTTGATCCAACCAAGAGAATATCGGTCAGCGACGCGCTTTTGCATCCTTACATGGCCGGATTGTCGGAACTCGGATGCGATTCGCCGGAAAATGTTCCGGTTAGTCTTGATATTGATGAGAATTTGGAAGAAGGTTTGATTAGGGAGATGATGTGGGAAGAAATGCTTTATTACCTTCCTTAAGCTTAAACCAATACTTTGTTTAGACAAATGAAAAGTATAGAATGTAAAATCATCTCTCTTAACATTTTTTTTAATGTAGTGTTTGCATTGAGTTGTAGTAATTGTTAGGAGGATTGTTGATTGAAAATTCAATTTCTACACATTATGTAATCTCTATATAACATTATGTAATCTCTAATCGTATTTTTACTAATCGCATTGTTTCTAATCGTTCCCTCACACGAATTGCACTCAAACGGAGTGCCATTCCGACCATAGTTGATAGCACTGATGCGTTTTGGTTTTCGGTTCGATTTGAACCGGATCGGTTATCTCGGTTCGATTTGAACCGGATCGGTTAATTTAGATATGCTTCTGAGCTATGTAGAGAGTTTTGACGATGAAAGTTATGAGATTTATCGGTCGCAAATCGGAATCTGTCGATCCAGTTTCCAGTGAATTAGCTCAACTATGCAGATGCTGAAGTGCCCATCAAGAAGAGACCACAATTTCATTCAATTTCTCTTCATCTTTGGTAAAATAAACCTCGTCGACGAAATTTGGAAATTTTCCTCTTTTCGAAAGTTTTGATCTTGTTGCCAAAATTGCAGCTTTTTTGTTTGGAGTTTTTGGTGTTGCAACTGTACCTGTACCCGATTCGAACTGCTACGCTCTTGACAATTCAAGTCGTCTTGTCGACTTTGTATCCTCTTTCTATTACTCTGTGTTCTTGTGTTGAGAATCAAGCTTAGATTCTATTCTTGGTGAAGAAGAGTTAAAGGAGTTTGCTTTGTTGCTTTCTTAAGCTTTTCTTTAACGTGGTTTGATCAGAGTAGCTGGATCGGTCATCCATTTGAATATGATGGGAAGGTTCATATATTCTCAATTACAGTGGTTGTAGTTTTTTCTCTCGTTCTTGAGAGTTTTTTTAAGGACTTTAGGTTTTGCATTTGTGGATGTAGGAATTTGATTTGGTGGTTAGATTTTGCAAGGATGTCGAAACAAGAGGGCAAGCGGTAAATTCCATATCATTAAACTTTAAAAACCGGTGATGATTCCACAAATCACTTTTTGTTTTTTTTTTTGTGCAGGGATATGTTGATTTTGGACGATATGACCCGTTGAGCTACTTTGTTTCTAGTTCTAGAAATTTCGATTTCGTTCAAGTAAGAATCTCCTCTTCTTTGTTAAGCTGTTTGGAATAAGGCAGGATAGTTTCAGAACATCATAACCAATTTGTTTGTGTTAGAGTTTGTTTCCTGATCAGTGATATACGTGTAGGGGTTTTACCACGGAGACCTGTCAAATTGTGAGCTGAGTTACGATAAACTTGGACGTACATCACAGGTTAGATATATATATACTCAAGAGTTTATTGTTGGAAATTTTTAGTGGTTCCTTTGTTTGAGTATGGTTGCTCTGTTCTGTTCAGGTTAATATTATTTGTGGGAACTGTGCTGATGGACGATGTAAAGGTGTGTCTGCTTTTACTTTGTTCCATTACGGATGTTGAAACTTCGAAATGCTTCTCAATTCTTGAAAAGCTATTAAGTTTTCATTTTTTCTTGTTTTTCTATTTTAGGTGGACTTGGATGCATATGTAGTGTAACCCAAGATTCAACTTGCAGGTCTGTCTGCTATCTTTATTTCTGATTTTTAAAGAATTGTGGTAAAATCGGTTTTCTTACAATGGATATATGTTCCTGCTCTTTCCCACTGGTCTAGAGTTACTGTCGAGTTGGCTATTCCATGTGAGAAACCTGGCCCGCGGGTGTTTAAAGGATTCACGGTCGGTTTGCATCCTCGCTCATGGGAAATTGTAAGAAAAAAGCAAATCCAAAAGTGCTGTTTAAAGCTTCTCTTTTTAACTCGCTCTTATCATAAACTTAAAAATGGATTTGGTTTTGGATTTTTAACCTGCAGATTTATAATGGCATGACACAATTTGGATTTGAGAAGCCTCGTCGTGAGTTTAGGTATGGAATCAAGAACTTTGCTTATTAGTGTTTTAGTTGCTGTGTATTTACTACCTGAAGTGTTCTTGGTTGCGCAGCTTCAAGACCGAGCAAACTCATCTTACACTCTATATGACTGCAATTGCTTCGTTATCAACATTGGTCGGGAAACCTATCATTAAGGTTTTCCCAGAAAATGGTCTTAACGTTAAGATAGTTGGTTCTTCGTTGACTGGGAATCATCCAACAACTTTATCGCCTTCAACTTTAGTACTGGATTGGAATTGTAATAAACTTCTGGTATCTTGCTTTTCTCATTGTGCCTTTGATCTTTGCTTTTACAAACTTTATAACTTTTGTTTTTAAAGGTGAGAAATCTCGGCAAACTCCATATGAAGTCAATGTCACCATCCCAATGGATGGTTATGATCCGGTTCAGTTTTTCCTCACAAAACTCTGCGGTATTCCCCTTGAGCTGTAACTTTCAATTGCTGCTTGTCTCTCTCTGATACATAACTTGTAGAATACAATTTATTCGAAAATATCTCAGAATACAACCAAGGTACTGAAGGAGGATCAGCGAAAGGATGGGCTATATTTGGAGTATTTTCCTGCGTGTACGAAAAATATCTCTCTCAAAATCACAAATGCTTTGTAATAGGAGAATTAGCTCAACTAATTGTGTTTTCTGGTGTGTTTCTTCTGATCAGATCTCTCGTTGCATTTACACTGTTCTGCTGTGGAGGATTTATCTACAAAACAAGAGTAGAATGCGTGGTAACCTTCAATCACTCTACTCCATTCTTGATTCTCTAATTCTTCTCTCACACTTTATATACACACAAAATCACTGATACGTTCATATGGGCGCAGCGTGGAATTGATGCATTGCCGGGAATGTCACTTCTATCAGGCTTACTAGAAACTGTAAGCATTACAAAGCATTCATTTATGCGGAATCAAGGAGAAACCTCACTATTTGTCTTTATGGAACTTACAAGAGGCAATTTATATGGTTTTTGTAAACAGGTGAGTGGAAGTGGACAAAGCTACTCAAGAAGTGAAGAAATCAACAATGCTTTTGCCAATGAAGTCTCATGGGACCGATCTTCCGCGAGTTCTACTCAAGCACCAACACAGAGACCAAGTGAAAGAACATATGGGGCTATATAAACTGTTTAACGACATTTTTCGGGTTTTACTTTTTTGTTTTGAATCTTCATAGTTTCTAGAATGAGGGAGAAGAGTAAAAAAAGTTGATAGATTCAACTTGAGATTGCTATGAAAATCTCACATTTTTTTAGTTTGTGTACATAACTACATAAGTCAGAAGTTTTTTGTTTTTCTTCTGAAATGTCATGCTCATGCAATTATTGGAGTAGATATTTTACAACTACGGTGCTATATATAGTGATGATATTAATTTATTATTAAGTGGCGAGAGAAAGAGAAAAAATGTCATCCATTCATTTGAGTAGATATATTTTTACAGTTGGAGTGGCATTGAGAGGAGTCTAGACAGACATTATTAATCTTTCTTTCTTCCCTTCGGCCATGAACTCTGATGAGGGAGTGTCACTACCATTGATCCACGAACATTTGATGGTGCCTTGGAATCATCTAGGGAAACTATCACTGATGGTTTCTACTGCGAAAGCTGCGACTTTTTCGTCCACAAGAAATGTAGCGAGTCCTCCGAGGTAAACCACTCTCACCACTTCTATGATGATGGGAAAATGTCATCTTTGTAACTTTTCTTCCTCTTCCCAGTATACGACGATCGACGCTGGTGAGAGAGTATCACTACCATGGATCGACGAGCATTTTATGATTCCTTGGAATGATCTGAGGAAAGGTGATTGTTGTGGACGCTCTGAATCTATCAGAGATGGCTACTATTGCAAAAGGTGTGATTTTTTCGTCCACAAGAAATGTAGCAACGAGACCTCTGAATCTATACAACACCCATCTCACTCCCTTCACCCTATTTGGCTTCGAACTACTCCATACGGTAATACTTGGACGTGGATCTACACTGTGCCACGTACCCACCACCAGATGTTATCAAAGTTTCTGAGACGCATCACCACAACCTCACCCTTCTGAAAATGAGTAGCCAGTTCGACTGTGATGCTAAATGTCATCAATGTGATTGCGTATGGCCAAAACACACGTTAGAGGTAAACCACTCTCACCACTCCTTGCACCCTCTTAGACTCTTCATGGGTCAATTACCAGACTATTCTGATGGAAAATGTCGTCTTTGTGGAAGCGAAGTTGATCATAGATTGTTCTATCATTGTTCTTCATGTAACCTCACCTTAGATATGCGTTGTGTTCACAAGCCACCACCAAAATCTCTTCTGGATTTGAAAGCTCGTGATCACCAACTCACCCTTCTCCCAAGACACCGTAATTTTACATGTAATGCTTGCGGGTTGAGTGGAGATCGTAGCCCTTACATATGTGTTCAATGCGATTTCATCATCCACCAAGGCTGTCTTGGCCTTCCACGCGTCATAAACATCAATCGGCATGATCACCGTCTTTCTCGCACTTCTGTTCTTGGTGTTGTGAATTCTATTTGTAGAGTTTGCCACGAGAAGGTGGATTGGACTTGTGGAGGTTATTCTTGTCAGAGGTGTCCTGACTATATCGTTCACTCGAAATGCGCTACAAGAAAGGATGTTTGGAACGGGAAAGAACTCGAAGGAGTACCTGAGGAAATAGAAGGTATAGAGTCATATGTGGTAATAGATGAGGAAACAATAAATCATTTCAGCCACAAAGAGCATAACCTTAGACTTCACGTTAATGGTGTTAATGTATGAGGAGAGCAAGCGGTGTAACCTTAGACTTCACGATTTTTTCCAATTCTGGATACTTTGAATATTTTGCCATTCCTAAATTTTGGTTGAATCGTGAATGTCTAAGTGGTGCTAAAAATGGGGGGGAATACGGGTCGAAGTGTAACTCGTCCACTTTGCAAGAAGTGTGAGTCGCGTTGCATGGACCCTGTCATCTTGAAGTTGCTTGGAACCTCAGATACATACTTTTGCAGTCTTATGTGCTATTTCCGTTTCTTTCATAAGCTTAGGAGAATCTAATAAGGTATGTGTAGCCAAGATTTTCTTTCGTATTTCTTTCACAATTTTCTTCTTCTTGGTTCGCTGGTAATGCCTTAATGGAGTTTAAATCTTGTTGAGTCTCTTTGATCTCCTCTGTTTTCTTCTCCTCGTCATCAGATTTGTTAGAGACTTTTTCGATGATGATTTCGTTGTTTGTGCAGCTAAAGCAGATTTATCTTTTATAAAATCATCCATGAGATGAAGTTTCTTCTGTGTGATTTTTTCCAATTCTGTATACTATGAATATTTTGCTGTTCGTAAATTTTGGTTGAATCGTGAATATCTAACTCAAATGATTCATTTAAACAGAATCAAGGAGATAGAAAAATACTCACTGTTGGTCTTTAGTATATAGTTTATGGATCTCTAAAGAGACAAGTTCTGTGTAAATCTAATGGCTAATGGACGATAGACAGTTGAGTGGACAAAGCTACTCAAGAACTGAAGATATCAACAATGCTTTTGCCCACGAAGTCTCATGGGACCGCTCTTCTGCATCTTCTACTCAAGCACCAACACAGAGACCAAGTGAAAGAACATATGGGGCGATATAAACTGTTAGTATCCTCGCAAGAGTTTCTATTTCAATCAATGATAAGTGCATTTTTCAGGTTTTACTTTTCGTTATCAATCTTCATGTTTCAGTTTCTAGAATGAAGGAAAGATGTGTAAGAGTCAAAAAGTTTGATAGATTCAACTTGAGATTGCTTTTACCTGCAGATTCATGTGTTATTATACTAAGAGACAAAAAAACTTTTCTTTCTTTGCATTGCATTGCATTGGTTACAAGAACAAGAATGGGTTAACAAGTCAACAAAGATTGAAACTTCGAGATACATAAATTTGTCAAAAAGAGAGTAGTTAGAATCTCTTCCTACTCTCTTCTCTTTCTCACTACACAGACGACTTGACTTTGTCTTTCCAAACGTAGTTCTTTTAATGGATATAATAAACCACCGTTCTTTGTAAAAGTAATAATAGTATTTCTTTTGAATTCTTCTTTGATATTTTNATTTAGATCTAGGCATTTTATTGGTTACTTTGTTGAAAAATTATCTGATTATTCTGTTCATACTTACAAAAAGGGATCAGTAAAATTTAATTTGGGAAAATAAAATCTCAATATTTCTAAGTTGAAATAAGATCAAGAGTTTTGATATGATTATGATCTTGAGTATTAAAGATTTAAGACCCATATCATTATGGCTTCTATGTTAGTGACTAGTATTCTTTATTGCGTTATGATTGACACGTTTAAGTATTAGGCTACTTAATCGAAATTCGAATTTGAAAGTAATTTCGAATTCTACGACAAGTGTGCGGTAAATGAAAATGGCTTTGTGGCCTTAATCAAGAAGTCGAAACCAATGGATATGGTGAAGCAAGAAAATTCGAATATCCATTCATAGAAGAAGAAGAAAAAAAAAGTTGATAGTAATCAGATTATCGTTATGAGTCGTTAAAAATATGGATAAAGATCAACCTCTACATATTAAAAAGTAAAAAACTCAAAGCTTGATTTGCTTTTCCCCCTCCAAGTTTCAAAGTCAAATTAATTTTAAAATAATTAACCCCAGAAAAAAGAGGGTTAATTAGTCAAAATTAGCATGCAATGTTGGGTACCAAACCCAAGCTTTAATCATCTTTCTTTCCTCCAATTATTTATTACAACACTTATTTCCTCTAGCTTCTTATTCATTGTCTCTCCCTATAAATACA